TTGAAAGCCATGAGAATTTCGATAAGTGATTGATATCGGGACCCACGCTTCAATTCTGAAAAACGATCGGGACCTCAAAATTGTAAGCCGGAATGGGTTGCATCGGGATTGAATATTTAGTCCGCGCCCATCTCTAGTACATGTGTATGTATGCACGTGTGTTTATTGTGACGTGCAGCTCACACGTAAATACCTACCTATGTACATACTATGTATGTACATACGTACTGTTCTTATATAAGTACATACATACATACATGCATATGTAAGCTTGCACATGCAACATATTACAAGGCTGCTTGCCGCTTTTTCCATTTGTTTCCATAACTTTGACATTAGAAGAACTAATTGTGGGAAGTAACTAAATAACTATGTACTAGCAAATTCTTGTCAAGTTTTTCTTTTGTTTTGTTAATTTTGAAAATTTTCAATTTCAGTTACAAGTTCAACGCTACACATGCGCAAAAGGGTAAACATGACAGTTACATCTGTATGAATGGATATTCCTAAAAAATGGTTGCATTGTACCTGACATTCGTATGCACCGCCTGTAAGGTTGCAATCTTTAAAACTCCCACCCATTAGCTCGTGTGTTGTTTACAGACACACAAATACGTACATACATATATACATACAAGCTTCCATACGTATGAATATAGAACTATACGATGCTGTCTGTTATATATTTTGTGTGTAATTCAGCAGCCGCTGGAAAGTTTTGCGGTCGCTTCGCTGACTCGAAAGCAAGGCCACTGCGAGCTGGCCATCAACAGAGCGTATATATGTACATACCTATGTACGTCAGCAGGTATGTAATTTTAAATTACTTACTTTAATTTGTTTGTAAAGTTCATATTTTGGGGTTGGAGCGGGTGTCAATTTGTGACTTATGTGTAGACGAGAGATTTGCAATTATTTTTGTAAGGCGATTCACTGGAATGTGAGTTGATTGAAACAATTTGTGGTTAATACAGGGACATGAAAAAGTTGAAAATAAATATGTATTAATTAATGAGAAAAAACTTTTGAAAGAAATTTGTTAATTTAATTAAAAACTCAAACGATAAAAACTACAAGTTCTTAATGAATGAAAAACTATAAAGTGATACTTTCTAATGGGCCGTATGAATAAAAACTAAGTAATTGCTTTTTCTTAAAATTCCATACCTTTTACTTGAGTTTTGTTTGAATGAATGGAGTAAAAGGTCTGAAATTTTAAGAAAAAGCAATTGCTTATTTTTACTCATACGGCCCAATGTTTTGTTTTTAGTTTTTACTTTTATTTATATATTTTTTTATATNATTTTAAGAAAAAGCAATTGCTTATTTTTACTCATACGGCCCAATGTTTTTTTTTTTAGTTTTTACTTTTATTTATATATTTTTTTATATTAAAAAAAAAAACATTTCTTAATAAGTTCACAAAACTACTACTGAAAACATAAAAACTTCCCCAATAATAAGACATTTTATTTTCGTTCTTCATAATCGGTTCTTTAATTTTTCTATGGCTTGCAGTTTTTTGATGCACAATTCTCGATAATTAAATGCTTTTCTTAGTGCTTTTTACGTATTTTCACATACATTTACTAATGTTATTTAAATAAATTTTTTGTTTCATTTTTAATAAATGCAATTAAAAGTACGTACACATTAAACTTACATACATCCACTTTCAAGGATACATGTATGTACACAACTTTTATATTTGTAGGAATATATGTACATATATAAAAAGTCATACGATGAAATTGTACAATTCATTAGCTACTGATTTTTGTATAATGCTTTTCCACATTGCTTGTAAAGAACACACAATTAATACTTAAACGAAATATGCTGCTAACTGTGCCATTTTATCCCTTGGTTGTCTTGCACCGCGTCCGCCTCTTCCGCCGCCAGCACCACCACGTCCAACTTTGACACCACCACGCCCACCGCCACGTCCACCACCGCGCACGTTTACTGGCCGCGATGCCACCGCACGATGTTTCTCCACCAAATGCGCAAAGTCGGCCGAGCAAAAAACGCAGCCACTTTTTTCTTCGCTACTATCTTTGAATTTCGTTTTATCCGACTTGTAGACCACATTGACTAGCTGTGCGCCACATTCCGTGCACTTTTGTTCTGAAAGAGAGCAAAAAAGTGGAAGCGCCAAAATATCAAGTATACATTCATTAAAATTTTAAGTAACGACTTACCTTCCACCGTCACTTTGGTGGCGCCCTTGAAACAATTGATAATGACATCGCAGCGATTGCAGCCTAATTTCCAACTAGGCGCTAAGGTGCAATCCAGTACAAGTATGCCATGTTCACACTCCACGCAACTGGAAATACCCAGCGTATTGAGCGAATGCGGGCAGGTTGGATGCGTGCAGGAATTGCAGCCACCATTTTTGGGCATATCCCTGAATGGCGGATGGTTAAAGCAGTATGGACAGAATGGGTATGAACGTCCTTTTGCGCCTGTTGTAAAAGCCAGTAACTCGAAATCGTCTAGCGGACATTTGAACTCGCGATAAACTTTGACATTGCCGCCATTCGGCAGCGAGTAGGTTTCGTCGCACTGCGAGCAATGCAGGCGTGCAGGTTTTGTCTAAAACAGAGATTAGAAATTTTGCAAACTATCGACTATAGTAATTTTTTATTTTTAGTGACCTACTTGTATGTATTTCATGTAACGTCGACATTTGCCGCAACGCGAATGCGCTTTGCCCGTTTCGGCCAATGGCGAGAAGGACACCTCGAACAGGCTGTCCATGCTGGCAATATTTTTAACGAAATACAAAAACTTCAAGCGGAAAATTTCAATGGCATGTCGCAGCACAGCATGGAAATCCGCTGAACCCTTGGAAATCAAATTCAGCATACGTTCCACTTCGGAGCGCATAGTGGGCAAGACGAGCTCAGGATCGATCTAAAATGCAAGAGGTTACGTTCAAGCGTTCACTACATATTAGAGCATGCGACATTTACCTTTTGATATCCATGCACCAGCACTATACCCAGAGTTGTGGGTATGAGTTTACGTCCCGTCTCAATGCGCACATAATTTCGCTGCGAAATGTTGTTGATGTGCACTGGTATGGAGGCATCTGTACCAATGCCATGCTGTTCCATGAGTGTAATCAACTCAGCCTCGGTGAGGTAATCCGGTGGGCCTGTCTGAGATTCAGCCATACGTACATCGTTAATAGCAACTTTTTCACCCTCCACAAAGGGTGGTAAAGCCTCATCGCGTCCGAATGCCTGCCAAGTCATCACTTTAGTATAACCCGGGTCGATTAATACGTTCGCGGTGAAGGTGAAGGTCTCCATGCCAACGCGCAATTTAGCGGTGGTGGTGCGGTACTTCAAGTCGCGTGACACGGTGCCAAGAAAATGACGGCAAATGAAGTCGTATACACGCCAGGTGTCCTTATCGAAATCGCCACGACTGGCCAGCTTCATGGGCGTGATCGGTGGATGGTCGCCAGCGTCTTTACCTTTGCGTGGCGAATTGAAATCGCCCAATATGCTGCGTGCCTCGTCGCCAAATTCGGAGGAGGGTTGCAACAGACGCAAAACGGCGCTGCAATTGTACAATAAATAATCATGGGGCTCCTAGCTATTTAAAATCGCATGTTAACTAACTGCAAATCGAAATTTTCGGGATACTGATTGGTTTCTGTACGCGGATAACTGATATAGCCCTGCGTGTATAATCGCTCGGCGATTTGCATGGCTTGAAAGGGTCCTATACCTAATCCTGAACTTGCAATACGCATCAATTCTACTGTGTTCAACGCTTGTGGACGTCCCTTGAACTGTTCTTTAGTAGTCACACTCTCAACCCTAAAAGTATGCACTGCAAAATTAAATATAGCTATTCAAGTAAATAAAATCACACATACAGCGCTTCCTTTTGCTCCTTCACGCGCTGCATCAGCATCATGGCAATCTCTTTTTTGAATACTCGTACACGCGACCATTCCAGCGTGACTTCTGGCTGACCAGCCAGTAATTGCAGATACCAAAAACTCTCAGGTTTAAACGTTTGTATATCATCATGCCGCTTCACACAAAATCCCAGCGTAGGCGTTTGACAAGGTCCATATGATATCAGCGATGAGTCCAAATCGCCATAACGTCCTTGGAAAAATTTCGTTTGAAAGCGTGTAAACGCACAACCAATGCGTAAGTCCAGCTCTTGCCGCGCATCCACAGATTTTGATTCGTTTTCGTTGGGATAACCAAGCGTTTCCATAGCGCCTTTGATATCCTTCTCGGTAATGGCAGAAAAGTGAGCGCGATATGTTACATTCCGGCTGTATACATTTGGTATTACACGCGATACCGCATCCATAACTTCGTAACAAATATTCTCGCCCTCTTTATCACAATCGAGCCATAGTACTAAATAATCGCAGCCTTTCGCTTCATTCGCCAGAAATGAACGCATATGCTGCTTGGGATTGGCTTCTTTCTTTTCAGTGGGACAGCCGAATAGCTCTGCCGGATCCACGCGATCCCAAGAGTTGTATTTGCCAACAAAATCGAGCGACATGACGTGACCGCAGACTGACGTCATGCGAAACAATACGCTGCGTTCATCGCGGAATGGACCAACCCATTCATGAGTTGAGCAGGAATTACTGGATGCTGCAAAGGGGATAAATTGTAGTAAATTTTATATTTCTCTATTTAGCAGCTCGATACGCTAAAGCGGGGTGGATACAAACCTTTTTTCGTCGTGCTTCGCCCATTGGATAGGATTGAGGCGAGTGAGCCAGCCAGCGACGGCTTCTCCGCAACCATCAATACTTTCTTCATTGTTCTTGCGCTTGAACTTAACAGGCGGCTTTAATTTTGCCTAATATGGCTCCTTTAAGTTATTTTCCTGATTTTTAGCTGGAATCGCGGAAAAATGCTGGGCAAGGAGAAAACACACACACAGTGCTGCTGCTGTCAGTAAAAACAGTGCCATTAAAACTTCAACAGAGGAAAACGTTTGGCATCCAAACTGCTGATTTCAATATTTGAATATTCTACATTTTTGGTTAAAAACAAGCATTTCATTTAATGGTTTTAAATAACGAAAAAGAGGTATTCTAACATGCGTTTTAGTGAAAATTTAAAAAAAATTGTGTTATAAAAATATTTTTGGAGAAAATGTTTGCTGTCCTTTTGTGTATTGACTTGGCAACCCCTAAACTCTTCTTCTTCTTAGCATAGCGCTGTCAAATCTGGCAGTCTTCCATACACATGTGCTTTGTTGATCGTGGATTGTTTTTTGGCAGAAATAGCAGCAGGATTAGGTGAATTCTACAGGAATGAAAATTAAATCGGCGAAAAAAGCAGCGAAACGGGATTTGCCTGCAAAGGATGATGGAGAATCTGATATTAGTAGCGCGCCACCCGCAAAGTCGCCAAAGAAGGCAAAGTTTTTAAATGGTATTAATGGGGAAGTTGAGGAGCAAGCAGTTGAGAAGCCCCCCGCAGAAAAGTCAGGAGGTTCAGTGAATGTTTCCATATTCCAGCATTTTAAGGAACTAACCAACGATGACGAAGATAAACGCATGAAAGCGGCATTGCAATTGCTCCAACAATTGAGCAAAACCAAGGAGGCCGATAAGGTTTGTTGGATTGTTGTTAATATGAATATAATAAGTACACGTTTTTTAAACATTTTTACATCAATAGCGTCAAAAAGAGCTGACGTACGCGCTAAAGCGTTTAGTGCGTGGCTGTGGCGCTGCGACTAATACGTCACGGGCAGGATTTTACACAGGTTTAGTAGCGTTTCTTAAAGCTTTCGACGAGCAGGAAATAACGCTCGAACACATTTTTGATACGATGCAAAAAGAGCTGCATGTAGGCGCGACCGTGGGAAACAAGGTAAGCGCATACATTGGCCATAAAATAGTGGATTATTTAACACTCCTTTTGCTCAGGATGATGCTGATGCGGTTGTTGGTAAAATATTGGTTTGTGGTGCGTTGCAGCAGGCGGGACGCTTGGATAACATCGAGCACAATGAGTATTTGGAACGTATTACAAACACTCTGATACAGGCTACAAAACAACGCAGTTATCATGCATCCCTTGGTTATGCACTACTCGTAGAACTTGTCGAAAAGGTATTGGTAATTGGAAAATGCAGTTGCTTATATAGGGCATCGGCCAGTGTGTATGCAGAGCTTGTTTGTAATTCAAACAATTTTTTATTTATTAAAAAACTAACCTCCAGCTAAAATATTTTTGTTGGCTAAATTTTACTTCATTTTCAAACAGTTGTCTCCAAAGCAATTCAGCACCGTCGTTTGGCCTTCATTGCAGAATGAACTGCAGCGTTCATGGTCAAAGCAAACACTGCAAACTGTGCATTGCCTAATAGCCACGCAGCTTCGTTTTCCTAAAATCGCGAATGCCAAATTCATGAAGGCGCACTTTGGCCACGCCGATCTTTTACAGCCTGAGAGCTATGCTCATCTGTATCGCCTATTCTGGGAACACAATAATATGCAATTATTGACACATCCTGCTTTTGAGGCCTTTGGCTCTTATATAGCTAAAAGTGATAACCTGAACAAATTCTGGTTAGAACAGGTAGATGCTGGTTTGGAAAGCAGCAATAAGTTACGCGAATTAATTACTTTGAAAATTGCCACAGATGTCTTTAACAATTGGCAGCAGTCACAGGAAACGGAAAAGAAGCATGTGGCTGTTGCAGATTTGTTAAGCCCAAACTTTATGCATTTACTGGTTGAAGGGCTAAAAAATCAAAAACAAAAGAAAGATGAAACACTCAAAGCTTTTTACGACGACTTTTTCGAAGCCTTGGTGAGTTGTTGCACCAAACTCGCGGATGATAAACAACTGGTAGCCGTAATACGCCGACTTATATTGCCTCCCGGCCAATTTGGAATAGAGAAATATACTAGCACGCGCGTGGTACATCAGTTAATCAATGCGCTGGGCACTACAGGTGTTAAGAAAGTATACACACTTCATCATAACATTTTCCTAGGCTTACAGCCGAAGAATCCGAGTAACGCAAGCGAAGAATGGCTGAATTTCGAACGTATGAATGCTGGTTATGTGCTGCAGCATTTGCTCGCGCACAAGTCGATGCGCCAAGAATATGATTGGCGAGAGCAGCAACTGCGCTTTCTGCTCACCTGTGGCATATTTTATGTCAACGAGTCGGCGGATATATGCAAAAAGGAGAGTGCGTCCACTTTCAGCAATGACTTTGGCGAACAATGCAAAAATATGTTCTTCACAAGCATGCAGAGTCGTTTGGTCGACTTGCAGCAGGAAAAGCAATTGCTCTTGAAGCTGGTACAGCACTGCAATGAGCGTATGGGGCATAAACATGCCTTGAAATATTTCCGTATTAAGCAATACGACGACACGTTGCATAAATATTGGCAGCAAATGCACACAGCCTTGGGTGGAAGTGAAACCAGTGGGAAGAAAAAGGACAAGTCAAAGTCGACGAAAGCGACAGTAAGCGATGATAAACTGGAATTGGTTTTCCAAATTTTGCTACTCAATATGGGCTTGCAGCTGTTCCGCGAACCGGAAATGGCGGGACCGGCCATAGAAGACCTGCTCAAGTGTATGCAGCGGGTGAAGGAGAAACATAAGAAAAAGCAAAAGACCAAGGAAAGTGTCAAGAATTCCGAAACGGAGGTAGGTTGCGTACGGTTTTGTGCAAATAACATTTTTTTATATGCATACATATAAAAAAAAAAGTTTATTTTTTCAGGACGAAGAACCCGAATGGATTGAGGTCGTTGTGGATTTATTCCTTCATTTACTTTCACAAAACGCCACGGCGCTGCGGAATATTGTCAATGCGCTGTTCCCACACTTGTGCGGGAGCCTGAACCTGACCGCTGTACACCAAATATTAGCTGTATTGGACATGAAGGATGGCCATAATCCTCTAAGTGCACATGGCGACGAAAGTGAGGATGAGGATGAAGAAGATACTGATGATGACGATGATGAAACACAAGGTGGTAAAAATAAAAAATCACCACCGAAACTAGTAAATGGTAAGGCTGATAATGATGCCGAAGGTAGTGGTGATGATAACGACGATGAGGATGAAGATGGTAATGATGATGATGATGACGATGATGAAGAAGACGAGGATGACGATGACGACGACGATGATGCCGAGGAAGATGAAGCGACAGCTGCCGACAGGCTTCGTAATGCCGTCTCACAAGCGCTTATGGCACATGGTGGCATGCCTACCGCGGGCGACGATGACGATGATATGGCCTCAATCGATTTGAATGACATGACTGAGGAGGAAGGGCACAAGCTTGACGAAGCACTAGCTGAAGCTTTTAAGGCCATGCGCAAGACAGGCGGTGGTGGTGCAGCTGCTAAGAAGTCAAAGAGCTATCGTGTCAAAATTACCACGGTTATGCATTTCCGCATACGTGTCCTCGATCTGCTCGAAATCTACTTGCAACAGCAGCCTCTTTTGCTGATCGCCATTGAAGTTATGCTTGCTTTGTACAATATGCTGCCACACTGTGTAGGAGACGAGCTGAAACCGCTGCAAATCAAAGTGGAAAAGGTGTTGCAAAAATTGACGGCATTGAAATACGATGTCGCCGATGTCCAGGAGGATGAGGTGGTGGCCTTTATACGCCTAATTGTCGAACAGAAATCGCCAGCAGCAGCTTTTGAGGCAATGAATAAGCTGCGTAACAAATGCATTATATTCCTGGTGAATAGCGCGATTAAGATTGCTGCAGAGAAAAGCGATGACTGCAAAAAAGTGCTAGCGCTATACGAAGAATATCTCCAGGAGTTCCTACAATCGCGTAATCCAAGCGTGAATATCACTTTACTGTCCGACATTTTCCGGCTGCGCTGGAGTGGCGTTTGGCAACTGGCGGTGTCGCTGTCGCGCAAAGGTCTGAACTTGGAAACGCGTGCTTTCCGCCGCATACAAATCTACGAACTACTCGATGTGCTTTACAAAAATCATGAACTTCAGCGGCTGGATGTGTCCACCGCAAAAACTCAATTAAAGCAGATAGAAAGCGCGCTCTGTAGCCACATCAAAGCGCTAGCCGCGGGCACTGGGACTGAAATATCGCCGAAGGAGTATACCGTGTTACTGCAATTGCTGATGCAGGCACAGAAGACACACCATCGGCTGCAAGTGAAATCGGCTCTGGCCGACGTGGACATTAAACAAGCTATTCAAAGCATGCGTGCCGATTCAACGCAGGTTTATCAACGATATTGTGCCGCCTACAAGCTGCTGGTGGAGCGTGGCAATGGCAAGGGCAAGCAAAAGATGAATGGCAAGCAAGCAGTAGGAGAGGCGGCAGCGACTGCAAAGAGGGAACACGGTGGTCATGTGGGAAATGATACGTTGGAGGCAGTGGAAAACGATGGGGGGAATGGTGCACAGAAAAAGCGAAAGAAAATCAATGATAAAGCGTTACGCAAACTGAAGAAGCAAAAGAAAGAGCAACGTTTGCAAGTTGCCTCTGCAGGATTAAATGGCAGCTTCGCATTTGTGCGGCAAGCGTCAAACGAAGATGATGAAGAGGCGGAGGAAGAATAGGAGATGTAGTGTATTTTTTCGATAGTTGGTAATGTAAGAAACATGTAAAAATGATTGAAATATTTGTTTTTTTTTTTTGAAAATATAAATAACAATTCTTATCTGTAATCGAAAAATCACTATTTTCTAAATATAATTCTGTTTACTAAGAAATACACAGAAATAAAAACGCGGGATTTGTCGCTTGCGTAAAAAAATAGTTTATTAAAAATTTGGTAGGTATGATTAAAATTTTCTGGAAGCTTGGAAAGCCTGCTTGTTCGTGTTTCCTTCCGTTTTGATAACTTTACACGATAATTTTATCGATACTTTTATAAGTGATAATGCATGTGTACATCTCTAACCTCAAATGCCAATCAGCGTTGTTTACAGTTTACCGCGCTGTCAGTAGGTTAATTGCAAATTCGCTCCGCATAAAAATTATAAAATTCTCGCAAATCATTACTAAAACGTTTGATTATGGTCGCGTGGAATAATTTACGCAAATTAAGTAGCATTGCCGTCGGTACCGGCGCCGGCCTGGCTGTTTATTACTACCAGCGTTTGCGCGAGCCCAGCAACCTGGTGCAGAACTCGTGGACAAACTCCGATAAGCCAGTTAGTGAAGCAGCAATCTGGGATCCGGATTGGGATTGTCGTGATCCGAAAAGTTGTGTGCATCCACTTAAGAATGACACACCACAAGAACAAAATCGCTTCAATAGCGAGTTAGAGAAAATGCGCGTAAAAGCTACTCGCCATATCGTGCTCGTGCGCCATGGGCAATACTTGGATGTGGGCGTGCACGATAAGGATCATCATTTGACCGAATTGGGTCGATTGCAGGCAAAATATACAGGCCAACGCTTGCATGAGTTGGGCATTAAATGGGACAAGATTATAGTGTCGACAATGACGCGCGCGCAGGAGACATCTGAGATGATACTCAAAGAAATCGACTATGATCTGGAAAAAGTGAAGCACTGTCACTATTTGCGAGAAGGTGCTCCGATAGCACCGCAACCGCCTGTGGGACACTGGCGGCCCGAGAAGTCTGTGAGTTGAGGGCGGAAGGGAGTGTAAATAAATAAATTTATAATTGTTTTCGTAACACATTTGTTTACTTGCAGCAGTTCTTCCGGGATGGTGCACGCATAGAGGCGGCCTTTAGACGTTACTTTCATCGGGCCTATCCAGAACAAGAGCATGACTCTTACACGCTTATAATTGCACATGCGAATGTCATACGCTATTTTGTATGCCGGGCATTACAGATACCGCCTGAGGCGTGGCTGCGCATGAATATCAATCATGGTTCAATTACTTGGCTCACCATCAGCCCCTCGGGCAATGTTTGCATAAAGCATTTGGGCGAGAGTGGCTATATGCCAGCGAATTGCCTATCCAATCGTATACCGCGTGAAGTGAAAAATGTAGTTTAATTGTCGAAAGCAGAATTACTAAATCATAACTAAAATAAGCATAAAATTAAAAGTCAGTGCAGCTGCTGAGCAAAGAAAATCATTGCAGAAATTTTGAGGTAAATTTTTAATTAATGAATTAAATGCGTCGGAAATCAGTTAAATATAAACAGTTTGGAGTTATGAATAAGCGAGGTAGTGTGGAAGTTCATGTTACTCCTGCCATATTATAGACCAATTACCATAAAGCAGTTAACTATTTTATCTCGTACTTAAACAATAACAAGTTTACTATATAAAAATAAACACCAAAATCAGTAAATTAACTTTAGGGCGTATATAAACACCAACATAAAATTGCGTTTATCCTTTTACTAGCATTTGTACGTATTAAAAATATTACTATTATGCAGAAAATTTAAAACATTGCTTTAAAAGGGAAGAAAAAAGTAAAGATTTATGCAGTCAAAAAATGTTTTAATAAATTCGTCGATTGCTTGAATTGTTGCAATGCAACGAATTGCTTCCCAAAAGAGTTTGTGTTTGCTCCTCAAGTGCTTGGAAATTTATGCTGGAAATAACCATATCACGAGAAAAAGCATACTATGTGGTTGTTTATAAAAATTGATTTTTTCTGCTTTCCTTTAATTTAATTTTTAATTTTTGTGTATCTTATCTTATGTATGGCGTTCTAGCCTTTTAGGTACTTCTTTTCTTTAGCTATTTTATTTTGTATGCTTATTTTTATTACGTTTATTTTTGTACGTTGTATCTGTCCCTTTGAAGGTCAGCTGACGCTGTATTTCGTGTTGCTAATCTTCTGAAATTGAAGTGGATAACTCTGGGGAGGGAAGTGAGCGTTGGACTTTAAAATCGCTAGATAAGATAAACTGATTACAATCGGCGTTTTCTCCTAGAGCGGAAATGAATGTACATATCGCACACCTACATATGTAGAAATTTCCCTCTGAATTTTGACTTAGCTCACTTTAGATCTAGGTGTGCGATATGTACATACATATATTTTTGTTTTGGCCAACTGCCCATACATGAGTATGTACATACATTTTTATTGTATGAAATTCCGCATTCTTTTGTTTGTGGAATGATGTTTGGCTTTTCCGCCTTTAAATATTTTTCAATGCTCCATTTAGCAGGCGCTTTTTCGTAATTAATGAAAATCAATTTATAAAATTTTGCGCGAATTTCTAAAATGTCATGAAAATGTCATCAATCCAGTGACAGTCAAAGTGTGTGGCATTTAAAGACTAATTGGATGAACTACAAGGCAAGCATAGTTTTAGGCGCAACGGAGATTTTTTGGGTGTGTATAATAACAAATAGTCAGTACCAATTTCTAATGGAACTTGCAAAATTTACTGAAAAAGTGTATTCTTCCTACTGGCTGTTGTTGTTGTTGTTGTAGCGGCTACAACAACCCCGCCCAGATTGGTTAGTCCCTCCCTCAATCGTTGTTGTAGTGGCTACAAATCGTTGTCGTCAAGCTCTATTAACGGGACACCCAATAAACGTGCAGCTTCGATAGGGTCTGTCCATAAGGACAGAGGCGTTAGTAGAGTGAGGTTCAGTGGACATGCGAAGAGATGTCTTGAGTCATGGGGTGTCTCCCCGCATGCCGGGCACTCGTTTGGCACATCTGCATCTACTCTGCTTAGGTACGAGTAGCCAGAGCGAAGTTGGGCTAGTGTGGTCCGAGTCTACCGAGGCAGACGAAANAGCATAGTTTTAGGCGCAACGGAGATTTTTTGGGTGTGTATAATAACAAAACAGAGCGAAGTTGGGCTAGTGTGGTCCGAGTCTACCGAGGCAGACGAAACTCTGTCTCGTCCATGTTTGGTGGTTGTGTGCCCGAAACGGCATTCACAGGTCGAGAGTCTATAACTCGGAACTGATTGGACACCCTGTGAATGCCGTTCAAGGCTTGTCGGTATGCTGTCGGGTCCAGAGGTTGCTTTATGAACCTCTAGACTTCGTCGTGAATATAGATTTTTTTTTTTGAATTTTATGACGATGGGAAATTTTCCCGTCGGGAAGTGTCAAAAATCGCGTAAGTTACAAGTTTTTACTAGTTTTGTGCGTTTCCCAACATAACGCTCTTGCTTCAATTTTTAATAGAAAAGTTATACCCAACTATTTTTATTTTATTCGGCCTTATCGCCAATTCCATATGAACAAATTTTCACTAAAATTATAAAACAAGACAAAAACAATATGTCATGGGAACGATTTATTCACATGGAGATGGCGATAAGGCTGATTTCGTCTCTTCCATTTCCTACAGGCTCTTTGTTTCGCCTGCGTGAAACGAATTGCAATACAAATATGCGGTTGACTAATATTTTTTTATTTTTATTTTTGTAACATGAAAAAATGGCGGAAAAGTGTATTTTGTCGGCACACATCTGAATATTTGATTATACTCGTACATACATACATACATACATACATACAAACGTGTGCATGTGTGGCCTTAAAAATGCATAGGAATGTATCGAACTATGAAATTTGACATGCAACAAATTAGCGAAATAAATTGGAATTTGTGGGCAGACTGCAAACATCTATTTGATAGGGAAAGTAAAAAATTAATTGAAATTAAATAAAATATGAGTATATGACGGAATACAAAATGTATAAAAAAATAAAATATGTAGGAAAAATAAAAATAAAAAATTTGAAGCAAAAATAATTAAAAAAATAAAAACAAAATATAAAAGGTAATTAAAATAAAATAAATGAAACAATGTTAAAAACTGTTTAATTAAAAAATTTGATGGCAAAATGCCAGCAAATGATTGCCTATTTTTGGACGTGACGTACGATTTAGAACAAACTACTTACGCATTTTTGTTTATTCTGAATTTAAAATAGGGGTTCCACAAACTTCTAAATTTTTTATTTTATTTTGTTTTTATATTTATATTTTTTTAAATCTATGTATTTAGTAGAAATTATTGCTTTATTACGTTTCTTTAAATTCTCAATAATTCCAATAAACTCGGTTAGCACACTAAAAGCTTAGGAAACAAGTCGCAAAAGATGGTTATAACAAAATCGTTTCTTCGTTGTAATTTTGATACATACATAAATTAAAAAAATTTAAGTTATAATTTTAAAATAATATTTTTTAACTACTACACTTTAAAAAAAGGTGGCATTCGATAAATGTTAATAAATTGTGGGCACTTTGAGGCATTAAAAAAAAATCCATAAATCGCCTAGTACTGATACCACGGCTGGCGACGCACCCATTGCAGGCGATTACTCGTCTGATCTGAGCGAATTTTAATGCTGGCGCCTTCGGCCGCGCGCACTGTCTCCTTGACCTGCGGAAAAGAATTGAGAAAAAAAATTAGTTCCGAAAGCGAACCCACATACTTCTACTTCACTTACGCTCTGCATCAGATTTTGCGCATTGCCCACCAACATCTCGGTGGCCTCACGATCCTCATCAGAGCCTTGCGCGCCCAACATAGTCGCCTTGACAGTGGATAGAATCTTCAGCTGCGTGCCAATGGTGGGTATACGCTCGCACACTTGCAACAAGTTGGTGCGTATGCGACGATCTGTACACTGGCGCGCCAGCTCCTTCGCCAAGCGCGTCACATCTTCCGACGCTTCGGCAATCTTCTTGGCGGTGGCGATCAACTCACGCTTGCTGCCGCGCGAATCGGAGAGCACCAGCTCACTGAGGCGCGCCATCAGAATGGCCATGCGTTTGGCGGCGGCAATGATTTCATTGTCCTTCGACGACCATTGGCGTACCTCTTGGTGGAGGCCGCGAGCGGCAATCTGTGGACAAAGAAAGATAGTATGTTTATAGCTAGCACAACTGTAAGCGACAGCGCGCAGTATTTACCAAAATTGGCTGGTTGGCATGTGGCATTGTGCGGAAGACGCCTTCGTCCTCGTCGTCCGTCTCTGGCGGTGGTGGGCGCGCAGGCACTAGGCCTTCGCGTGGCAAGGGCGGACGCGGTGGCGCGCGTTCGGCTGTTGTGCGATAAAATAAGAAAAAAACAAAGCTGAATTAATTTATATAAATTTCGCATTTATACTCTCAGACGCACCATTTTGATTGGAGATGTGCAGCGCGCTGAGCTCTGGTATCGGTGGTGGCAGTGAAGTGGGCAGTGGTGGCGGTGTTGGCGCAATGGCGGCACGTACATCGCGTACATCGCCCAGCAGCTGCAAACAAGAATTCTCGTTACACAAATATATACGAATGCCATATTTTTCGCACACTCACCCGCTGGAATGCCGATTTCCATGCCTGCGCCGCGGCTGGATCGTTGATATTTGTCGCTACGCGCTTCGCCTCGCCCACCATTGCGGGAAGCGAGCTCTCCAGCCTGTTCGCCGCCGCATTCAACTTCTGCGTGAATACCGGATCCTCAGAGTTGTCCGCCTCCTGCTTGGCCACCAGCAGCACGCGGTTGATCAGGCGCGCTATATTCGATGTATTATCGACCATCTTCTGCGGCTGCTTAGCCACGATGGCGTCCTCGCACAGCTTCGCGTACATTTGCATGTGCTCCTCGGATGTCTTGATGAACTCGCTTGGATCGGTGGCCTGATCGCAGAGTGTGCGCATGCGCAGCACGGTGTCGGCATACTGCTGTTTCAAGTTCTGCAAGTGCTCGTCGGCTGCCTTGCTGGCCGGATAGTTCATGCGTATGCGACCGGCATTGATGAGCTGTGGCGTCAGTGAGTCCACCTGCGACGCCGAGGAAAGTAAAATCTCGGCGATCTTCTTGTTGCCACAAGCGCCACCCGCGGCCACCATGCGCGAGGTCTTGGAGGCGCGATCGCTAAATGCCTGTAGATTGTTCGATTTCTGATTGAAGTTCTGCTCGCGGCCAGGCGTGCCCTCGGGCAGCATAACCGCCTCGGTAAACTGTTTCAGCGGTGTGCTGACGTCCATGAAGTCCTGCACGATGCGGTTGACCAGCGCGTTCTGTATGGCGGCCTTCAGTTCGTGCAGCTTGTGCGTCAGCTGCTTAGCGGCCTCTTTGGCAGCTGGTGTGTTGCCCGCCGCTTGGCGCTTGAGACGCTCAACCTCGTCGCAGAGTTGATTGATTTCCGCCTTCTGATGACCCGGGCAGCCCTCGGCAACCTTGCGCCCCTCCTCCACAATCAGGTTGACGGCGCGCTCACCTAAGCCCCCGTCGTTGATTTCGGGATGCTGGAGCCATTTGACGGCCTGCTCCAGACGGCCTTGGATGGTGTGCGCGGTTTGCTGCAGGCCTGCCTTGTCCACGCCGACGACGGCGTTGCGTACCAGGGATTGCAGGTCGCCGAGCTTGCCGCGTATGGCGCGCGCCAAAGATTCGGCCTGCGGTGAAGTGCCCTTGCCGTCCTGGCGCAGCTCGCATAAGCTATTCGTCATGGCGGCGATTTCGTCCGCCAAGCGCCGAATGGGGTATGCATCCTGCGGCAGACAGCGTTCCGAGATTTCGTGGGCATTGTCGATTATCTGGCGCAGCGCCTTCTCTCCAACGCCGCCCTTCAGCGCATACGGATTGGAAAGCCAGTCGTTAGCCAGCTCAGACTTGTTGTTGATGGCATTGCTGAGCTTCTTCAGCACGGTTAAATTGTCCAATTCGCTCGTGTCCTCGTCGTAGGTAGTCAGCTGTAGCACGCGTATAATTTCCTGTATCTCATCGCTCATGCGCGACGCCAAGTAGTTGCGGTTCTCGGCCGCCTCCTCCGCACCCTTGCCCTGCTGCTCGACGATGTGTATGTAGACTTTCATGCTGCAGATGAGTATCGGTGCCAATATTTTCACTTGCTCCAAGCAGCGCACCAAAATTTCGCTGTGCACCTGATGTGTCAGCTCCTTCTCACGCGCGCCCACCTCGCGCGCCACCTTGCTCAGGCACGGCGAGAGGTCCTTGAGGAATTGCACCAAATCTTCCATGGTATTTATCACTTCGGCAATGGCCAAATAGTCGAGCACCCTTTTGCACTCCTGAATGATTTTGCGTACCTCGGACTCGTCGAAGCAGAGCAGCAGCGAGGAGGTGCCTTGCAGTATACCGCGGCTTCCTTCAATTAGTTTCTTACGCGCAGGTCCCGAGTAGGGATCGGCTCGTAACATATCGGAAGCCTCCTCCAGCAACTGCGAGGCAGTCTCGACGCGCTGCAGTGATGCGGGCATCTCCTGCTTCAGGATCTTATCGTCCGAACTGTTGATGGTCTCGCGGCCGACTTTGACGAGATTGGCCACAGCTGCCGACACCACCTGTACGGGGCGACTGAGATCGGGCATGGCGTTGCCATCTTCGGCTTCTTCATGGAGGATGACGAGCCGAGAGACCTGAGTGGGGGGAGAAGATAGAAGGAAAAAAAATAATAATTATTACTTTTGTGGTCAAAAAGTCAAAACGGAAAATATATCTACTTTAAAGTAATGAATTAAGGTTTATAGGTTATAAGATCCAAACTAAGCAAACTTTAACATTTTACAATTTTAAGAAAACTTAAAATAAAAATTTTCGAAACATATATTTTCCCACAAAATCCATAATATTTAAATTGAAACTTTTTGAAAAATTAAAAAATCTCCAATAATAAAAATGAACAGAGAGTTTCAAAAGAAATAAATACCCTAATAAATAAAAGCTTTCAAAACTTGTTTCAAAAATAAATTAAAAACGTTTTTAAATAATGGCCCAATAGGAAAAA